ACAAAAACAAAATTACACTTTAAACACATATGCAATGCATTATGAAAGAAAACCACATGCTTTGAAATTTTTCCTTGGGGAAGAATCTAAGTGCCCATTTTACTTTATTTTTTTAGAATCTCGGTCCCTATGAATCACTCCACAATGAAGTCTTCATCTTTTTTATTTATGTTTTGGTACCGTGAATCGAACTCAGGACCTTATGGTTGTCAGGCAGGCGTCTGTGCCGCGGAGCTGTATCCCCAGCTGGGTGTGCATGTTAATCTACCACCAGCTGCTCCTCGGTCCTCTTTGTCTGTGCCTATGCAGCTGTCCCAGGTTCACCTGTGTCTGCAGCTTCCATGCTGAGCCGGGAGCATGGGGAATCACGAAGCCACCTTCCTAAGTATACTTGGTGGCTGGTTTCTCTCTTTGTCCCCTCCTGCTGCATCCCACATTGTTATGCTGCTGGGAACTGGGGTCCAGCCACCCTCTCAGGCCTGTCTGGCTGTCTCTTTTTTTTCTCTTCGTAATGTTGGGTAGAGGGGACAGAAAACCTTTTTGTGGACCGTCCTCTATCTGGGAATTGGTGCTATTGGAAATAATGTCATAAAGCCAGCCTGACTCCGTCCATTTTTCCAGGTGGAAAGTGTAGTGTCCACTAGTACCCACAAAAAAGAGGCAGGGGTGTTGTGGACAGTACACAGGGCCAGAGCCTCCAAAGACTCCTGGCCACCAAGTAATGATCAAATTTTGACAAAGCCAAGCAAGGAGGGAGGCAGGACCCTGGGGTACCCCTAATGGCTTCTTTGACTGTTTCTAACATCTTCCCGCCTTACCCACAGGTCAGGAAGAAGAGAGAGCAGAAGTCATTGCGGGTAACTGGCTTCATCTTCGCAGTTGCCTGTGAGAGACAGGAGGACTCAGTGACTAGGATCAAGAGGCGTGGAGGACAGTGAGGAGGTGGAGGGGAGTTTGCGCCCTGCACTTGGGGTGTGGGAAGAGCTGGGGTGTTCTTCAGTCTGTGTCCCCAGCCCCTGTGATTCTCTGCCTTTCTTTTAGGATGAGCGCTCCCTTCCTGAAAGGGTTTGCCAGTCAGGTCAGGGCAGACTGAGTGGTGCGGACATACAGGCAAGGTACCCATGCTGGCCGAGGTGACCGGGACATCACAGGCCCTTGATCCTATGTTGTTCCCTTTTCCTTGCCCCCAAGCATCCTCCTGTCTGAGTAGAAGTGTCTCTACCATCTTGCATTCCCCAGCTGAGATGCCTCCAGCACAGATGGCAGGCAGAATCCTAATGGGTATCGGACTCACTTTGGCTGTGGTTCGGGGATCACTGCTGTCTAAGAGAGAGGGCCTGGTTCCCTTGTGCAGGCAGTGGGGTTGGGACTGGGCTGGAAGCATCTGCTCAGGAGACAGGTGGTTGCAGGGGACCCTGATACAATCATGGGATAAACAGAGGGTGAGGCTCTGTCCCAGGGTCTCACCGTCTTTGAGGGATCAACGTCAAGTTGGCGACTGCCTCTGGGACTTGTGCTCTTGCCCCCTGTGGCTGGGAGCCCTCGTTGGTGCTTTGGAGTCACCACATAACTGTGGCTGTTGGTGGGGGCTGCAGGCACGGGGTAGATGTGGTGGAATAAAGTGACTGATATCTGCTACTGAACTCAGGTCAGAAACCTCATCCTTTGGGCAAAACCTAAGAGATGACAGTCGAGGTGAAAGAAAGTAGGTTTGATGTAGGCTGCTGGTAATCTGGGAAGGAGGCGGACTAACACCTCCAGCTCACCTTCCTGGGCCTTTGGGGGAGGCTCGGGGTGTTTGTGGGGAAGTCAGGTCTTGGACTACATGCAGAGGTCAGCGTGTATCAGAAGCTTGACTCAGCTACAGGCTTCCAGCTGACACCTTCCCCTGGGGCTGGATGCTTTTGTTTCAGTCAGTTCTGTAATCAGCAGCCAAGTCTTGGAATCAGTTCAGAAAAACAAGCAATATCCACATAGTACAAAGTGGAGCCAGGTGTGGTGGCACAGGCCTGTAATCCTAACACTCCAGGAGGCTGAAGCAGGAGGATTGCAAATTCAAGCCCAGCTTGGGCAATTTCATAATTAATAATATTATCATAAACATGGACTGTGTTTGAAAAAGACACGTTATTCCATCACAAAGTTGTCAAAACACATAAATTTAGTTACCAGACACTTTACTGCCATCTGCCCAAACTGGTAAACACACACATTTTCCATCTTTGAAGGGAAACAATGTGTGATAATGTTTTTCAAAATACGAAGTTGCCCATGCTGTGAATAGCATTCCCTTCAATATGGTCACTGGTACACGGCGGGGCAGGGGGTGCGGGCAGACAGCAGCTCTGAGTTCACCTTGTTTGCCATTTCTTTACTACCTGTGTTTCCTAAATGTGTTGCAAATCTCTTTCTTTGCCTGCCAGCATCCTTGGTCACTGCATTGGTTCAGGGGCTCCTCTTTTCTGGCTTGGACAACTGCAAAAACCCTCTACCTAGTTAAGTCCCCAGCTCTACCTGGGTCTCCTGCTGGGCCCCGTCTCCCTCAGCTTGAAACTTCTCACTCGGACCCCTGACAGGCAGATTGGTATAACATGGAGATGAGATGTTACCAGTCCTATACGGGCCTTCCCTTCTCTGGGACCTTATCATCCTCCCCACTGCAGTCCTTGCTATAGCAAACAGGCAGCTCATGAGTTTATCTTTATTTTACTCTCTTGGTTGTCTTTGCATGTCGGAGTGTCTCCTGGAAGCTGGGTCCCGATGCAGCAAGCAGCCAGACCCTCAAGTCCTTGGTCCGTGGTCCTTTGTGCCCTTGACGGCACATTTGAAAGGAAAGGTAGAATTTATCGTAAAGTAGGTGTGCAGAGAATTATCCTTCAAGCAACAAGGTAGACAGTGCCATGAAGGCATCTGCCTCTAAGTGTGAGTTTGGATTCAGTTTTATGCATCCAAGGGTCACTCTTGGGGCCGGGAGAATTGGGCTATTTGTGATGCCTATCAGCAGTTTACTTAGCAGTTGCTTTGGGATTGCAAAACATCTTCCTGAACTTCTTAGATGGTCAGTGTTTTCTCAGGATCTTTAATCATCTGAGGAACTCACAAAAGATAAATTCTTAATTAACAGGGTCCAGATCTAAGGCAGGAGGGTGTTTAAAGAACATTTCCTGATGTGACTGGACTGCAGGCTGTGGCAGTCAGCAGTACTGTGTGCCTCCTCCTGAGGGTCCACGGCCAGATGGCCAGGGGTCAGCAGAATGTGAACTTCAAGGTGTGACCTTGCACTGAGGAATCTCTTTGAGTCTGAGACCCGTAAGTGATTGTAAGTGAATCTTACGCTGGTATCTTTCGTTCTTTGCTCAACAGGCAATGTATGCTGTTTCAGAGACTCCTCCCATTTGTCCCTGGCCTGCTAATGTCCAGCTACCTACCTGACAGTAAGGTCCACAGCACTTCTCCTTGCTGCTGGGGGGCTCTGAGCGCATCTCCTGACAGCGCATGCGACACAGCTTCCTAAAGGCAGCTGTGGGCTGTCCCCTATGTGGGGGCTATGACCTTTTTTAGTGAGAAGGACTCGCCAGTCTTCATGTCTTGGTGCCACAGTGCTGGTTCTGGTGGACCCTTCCTTGTGTGCGTCCCTGCATCATCTTGGCGACTTGATTTGCAGAGGTCCAGTGGCTTTCCCCTGACCACTGCTGAGAGAGCCTCGCTGGGTGGGGCAGCGACAAGGAGCTTGCTGCTTATTCTGCTGAACCTGAGCTCTCGGCCCCTGTCATTACTCAAGCAGCCACTAGGGAGCAGCGGAACCCTACCCTTCCTCACTGCCGGGCTGGAATCCAGGGCAGCAGGCCTTGCATCAGAAGGATCAGTTCCCTGAGAGCTAATTTACTGAAAAACCGTTTTGCAAAACGGTCAACTCAGCAAATAATCACCTTGCTAAAACGTTTGAGGAGTTACCAGAGCTTTGGTTTCACTCTGACGTCTCTTCAGCTGCTTAATATTTCATTTATGAGCGTTTTTCTTCTCTCTTGTTCTGTGTTCTGTCTGTGGGCAAGCATCTCGCTAGGGCGTGAGCTCTAGACTAGTCTCTAGACTAAACTTCGCATTGGAGAAACTGCTCTGGTCTGGTCTGAGATTTTGGTCTCATCGTTTCAATGAGTTGGTTTTATATGTGTTGCCCTTGTGCCTGGGGAAGGGGGCCTGTCCCACTCTTCTTCATTCTGGGGGTTGGAGGAGGCTGAGAGGTTTTCCCACCGATATGTGGCCTCAGTGTCCCCCACAGCCCTTCTGAGCCACCCCAGCCCAATCAGGCTTTGCTCTAGGTTGGTACTGTGGACAAGGCATCCTGAGGCTGGTGTGGGAAGTCAGCCCAGGGGACGCGACAGCTTTCCCGGTACCTTAGCAGTTGGGAGGGTTCAGCACCGCTCTGATGCTAACAAAGCCAGTGTGAGCTCAGCTTTGTGGGCTTCTTTACCGTGTGCAGGGACCCTTGGGGAGAGACTTGCTTGGGGTGAACCTGGAGCCCCGGAGCAAATGGTTCCCACCAGTGCAGAGAAGCTGATTGGCCTGGAAGTGTCAGAAGTCATCAGAACCACACAGACAAAAGCGGGGCGAGACTGTGGTCCAGGGCTCTGGCATCCCCTCTATAGAGCATCCCCAAGAGTCCAGTCTCCATAGTGTATTTCGCACTGCTGCACTGTGCACTTGAAGGTGATTTGTATGGGAAGGGTCAAGCATGTGGTATGATTTTCATTCTAGAAAAGTGCTGGACTTACTTGGGAAGTTGAGACTGGGGTTTTGGGACACGACAGTCTCTCTCAAAAACATCAGGTTCTGCCATTTGGAATTCTGCTCACTGGGGAGAAGCTGTCATTCACCCCAAGGCAGCTCTGATTGGTGGGCTCTGGCCTCAGGCTACGACGGGTTTCCAGGAGACTCTTGGGTAGACAGGGCAGCCCCCTTACAGAAAGCTGTAAAGTGCTACAGGATCGTATTAGGTGGAGGTTGGGGGAGGAAATGAACCAAGCCTTCATCTTTTTATCTAGACCTTGGGAGGGCCCAGTGAGAAGGAGGTTGTGTGGCCCAGAAACAAGGCCTGCTGTGAGTGGCTGCACTCCCACAGCCTTTGGCTGTGTGGTGACCCCAAAGGGCAGTGGCCTCTGCAGAAGGTGGTGTGGCCTGATCCCTTCTCCAGTCCCATCTGCTGCCGTGTGTGTCTACATTGCACCTAGGACCCTGCGTTTCCTGTGCGCCTGCTCTACACCTCTGCTGAGGTGGAAACTTTGTAGAAACCTCTTCCTTAACAGACACACTCAGAAATCCTCCTGCCGGGGATTCAGGTCCTTGAAGGGTGGCCAGTCCCTGCTGTCCGCGCCTCCAGAGCCAGGCCCTCCTTAAAAGTCACTGCTGCTGACCTGAAGGGAACCAGCAGCCCTTCCACTCGCGGAGGATGGAGGACTGGGACGAAGCCGACTGTGACGTTCTCGAGACAGTGGGAGGCCAGGGGACAGACCTGAGGTATATGTGTAATGTGTGTGAGTGCGGGTGAGCACAGTGTGGCTGTGCTATGTGAGCACACGTATGTGAGCATGATGATGGGCCTGACCCATGGAAGCTGGGTTGGATTTCAGGGCTCCATGGAGGGCTTGCCCTGGTTCAGCACGTTGTCTGAACTGCATGGACACATGGGGCCAGAGAGGCACAGGCACTGGGGAAGCCTCGGGGACAGCTTTCCTCAGAGGAGGGGTGCCAGGAGAGGGTGCTCAGCCCAAGGAGGAGTGCTTCAGTTGGGTTAAACCGAATTCTCAAGTACTTATTATTTCTTTATGATAAAAATATCCAGAATCCTTTCCTCTAACCGTTTGACACTGATAGTACACAGTGTCATCTGCAGTGTATACTCCTGTCCATAATAATAGCACAGAACTTCTTTTATTTATTTTGTTTGTACCAGGAATCGAACTCACAACCTTGTGCTTGCCAGGCAGGCACTGTGCTGCTGAGCCACATCACTGGCCCAGCACAGAACTTCTAACTCTAGCCTGACCTGCTGACAAAACCTTTCCTACCCTCTGCCGCTTCTATTTCTACCCTGTTCCACTCTCAACTTCAGTGGGACCATCTCTTCTTTTCCCTGTCAGAGTGAGAGCCTCAGTCTGTGCCTTTTGTGCCTGGCTAATTTTACCTAACACCATGCTCTACCTGTGTCAGGAAGCCGGGATTTCATTTTTTTTTTTTTTTTTTTTTTTTGATGCTTAAGCAGTGGTTCCTTGTGTCTGTGTACTATATTTAAAAACCTGATCATTATTGATGGACACTTACGTTGCATTTCTTGGCTACTGTCAATAGCACTGTAAGAACCGTGGGCTTTCCAATGTCTCTTCGATATATTGGTTTTATTTCCTCTGTGTGTATCATCAGGAGTGGGCTGGCCAGATTGTATGGATCAGCTCTCTTTTAGTTACCTGGGGAACTATATGCTGATTTCCATGCCTGTGTTACGTCGCCACCAATAGTGTGGGTTTCCCTTTTTCCCCCATCTTTGCCGATATTCGTGATCTTTTACTTTTTTAATATTAGCCATTATGGCTGGAGTGCAGTAATACCTTACTGTGGCTTTGATTTACTTTATCTGATTAGTTGTTTTGTTGAAAATTTCTTTCATGTATCTGTTGGACGAGTCATTTTCTTATCCAACATCTTGAGACTCTTTTTGTATTGAAGATGGATCTAGAACCTCAGGCATGCTGAGGAAGTGCTCTATCACAGAGCTACATTTCCAGTCTTTTCTCTTAAAAAATTTATTTTGAGATGAGATCTCTAAGTTGCTTAGGCTGACCTGGAATTTGTGATCTTTCTGCCACCAGTCCCCCACATAGCTGGGATTACAAGTGTGTATAATCAAACCAGCTTGAAGGATATTTGTAGAAGACTGAATAACCTGTGTGTGTTGCTTCTAATTCAGCTAATCTGGAGGCTGAGACAGGAGGATTGCAAATTTGAGGCCGACTTGAGCAAGATCCTGTCATTCACACGTGCACACACCCAAAACCAAAATAAAATATAAAATTAAAAGCAAATAAACATGACAGTGGATGTAGCTCAGTGCTCCCTGAGTTCAATCACCACTGCTGGCAAAAACATTCTTGAAACAGACGATGCTGCCTTCATATTATGCATGAGGATGCCAGTGAGGCTGGGTGGTGTAGCAGCCCCCAAAGACCTCAGCCGGAAGGCAGCGGGGGTGGGGGGACCAAGCTGGCTCTGAGCCTGTGGCGCATGTGCAGGAGTGAATCCCTGACCTTTGCTTCTTGTCCCCACAGAACCAGCAGGAGCCTGATGCAGGAGAGCCCATCCTGGGAGCAGGGCTGCTCCACACCCAACCTGCGGCTCCTGTTGCTGGGCAAACGGGGCGCAGGAAAAAGTGCTACCGGGAACACCATCTTGGGCAGAGCTGTGTTTGTCTCGAGGTTTGGTTCTCAGCATGAGACCGTGAGGTGCCAGCGAGAGAGTGGGGTTGTTTTGGGGCAGCAGGTCGAGGTCATCGACACCCCTGACATTTTCTCTTCCCTAGCCTGTGCCGAAGCCAAGCCAGGCCTCGTGGACCAGTGCTTGGAGCTCTCGGCTCCTGGCGTCCACGCGCTGCTCCTGGTGGTGCCCGTGGGAAATTGCACCGCCGAGGACCAGCAGACCTTCAGGGGCATCCAGGAGGAGTTCGGGGCGGAGGCCATCAGGCGGACCCTTATAGTCTTCACCAGGAAGGAGGAGCTGGGCAGCGACTCCCTGCAGGATTACATAGAAAGCACGGAGTTTCTTAAAGCATTGGTGGGCAGAGACCAAGGCCGGTACTGCGCCCTGGACAACAAAGCCGATGAGGCCGAGCGGACCACCCAGGTGTCACAGCTCCTCTGCAAGGTCGAGCGTTTGGTAGAGAGTCACGGACCGTGGCATGGGAACCTCAGAACCGACGGTCTTGGATTTCAGGCAAGAATTAGCTTTGGGGGAAGAGGAACACACCCTGTGTGAGGGAACAGGGGTGTCGTTAAGGAAACATTTGTGCATTCTCTGGAATAGGGATCAGACTTTCAGTTACTTAGGGATCAGCAGGGTGACCTCGGCCTTTTTTTTTATACCAGGAATTGAACCCAGGACCTTGTGCTTGCCAGGTAGCACTGTGCCGCTGGACAACATCCCCAGCCCCTAGCCCTTTCATACATCATCTCTTGTATTATTAAACACACAAATGGCTCTATGCTATTTGTTCCTCAGTCTTCACTGAAATCTCCCTTGTTGTTTTTTTTGTCCTCTCTTTCTGGTGACTTTAGAGTGTGGAATCTTCCTGCAATCTCTGGCTTTCCCAGCTGGGGCTCTCAGGGCTTCATTCTGACCCGTTCCCCACTCTGTTTTGTCTTCTTAGCAATTGACTCCATGCTTTTGTGCCTTGGGGCTCTATGTGCTGGCCCCAAGTAAGTAGCCCTAACCTGGCTGTTGTGTTCTGACTGCTTTACCCAGGCACCCCTTGGCTTCTCCACTGGGGTCGCTCACACTGTCTCACCCTTACCACGCCCAGTCTTTGAGATCTCCTCTTAAATCTCTTAAGGCTTCAGTTTCCCTCTCGACTCTGTGATTGTGTACTGTGTCCTTTACACCAAAGCCCAGATGTCAGCTTGAAACCACAACTAGCTCACATCAAGAGATCACCGAGTCTCAGCGTTCCTGAGTTTCAGTTACTGCTCTCCGTCCCCATGACCACCATCTGCCCCAAGCCAGTGTCCTTTCTTGCCTGTGCTGTTTTAATTCGCTGATGATTTTCTTCTTCATTCTTGAGCCTCCTTCTCTCAATCTATTTCACCCATAATGGCCAGGGCAGTACTTCATGTGATTTTTTAAAAAATGTATTTGCGAGTAAGTGGAGGTTCCAGAATGCAGGCTTGTCTTCTGAGGAGCTGACCTTGCAACCCAGTGTCTTCTGCCTAGAAACCCAGGCTCCCTCTCCCCCAGCTCAGTGTAGGCGGGAAATTGTTGGTACAGAGGACTCCATGGGCCTTGGTGTCAGAGAGTGAAAGCTTGTGCAGGGAGGGTTTTGGTCAGAGAGACTTATTAGAGGTGGTAAATAATAAATATAAACAGGATAGAAATAAGAGAGCTGTGGCACTTATTGAGCGCCTGCTGAATTCCAGACACATACTTGACCAACTCTTAACAGCCACTCTGTGTAAAGATGTTCTGTAGAGGTAGTAGCTTCAAAGCTCAGGAAACTGAGCAGCGGAAGGTGAAAGAAATCTGACAACCAGAGCTAAATGGAGCGGACCCCAGGAGAAAGATGATTGAAGGTTCAGAGACTGGGGCAGGGGGCTCAGGTAAGAAAGCAGAGGAAGATTTCCTTGGCCCCTGTGAGGGAATTAGCAGAAGTAAGGTTAGAGCCGGGTGTGGTGGTGCACACCTGTAATCCCAACACTCTGGGAGGCTGAGGTAGGAGGATTATAAACTTCAGTCCTACTCAGGCCTGTCTCAAAATAAAGAATGAAAAAGGATTGAGAGTATAGCTTAGTGCAAAGGTCCTGGGTTCAAATCCCAGTAATTACAATAATAAAAAAATGAAGTATGGTATGTTTCTGAGAACAGCACAAGAGCAAATCCATCAAGGTTGTGTGTCACTGTTTTTATTTGGGGGGAGCAGTTGCATGGCCTGATGAGGCAGGAGAAGGGACTGCAGTTGTGTGCCTGATTTCCTGTCCTGTTGTCTCCCTTTGCCCATCTGATGGACCTCATGTTGGAAGTTTTCACTCCCTGCTGGGAGCAGAAGGCCAAGAGCCACTGAGGAGGTCTCTACCTGTGGGAACCTGTCACAGTGACATCGGTGGGGCTGGGGACAGATCTACAAAGGCCAGCTAGGTCCAGGACCATAGCCTTGGCATGGCCACATCCTAGTCAGCAGGTTACTCTGCATGCAGAATCAAATGTCCACTTCTCTTCTCTGGGAAGAGATGAGATTAGAGATCCGTGTGCATTATTTGCCCCTTTATTTTCTAGGATTGTGTGAATGGAGCCACGTGTCAGGAGATGGCTGGTCCACGTGGTAAGTTGATCTCTTTGAGACAGCAGGCTTGTGTTTACATTCCTTCAAGGCATTCTTCAGCCAAATGAGGTGCAAGAGTCACACACATGGATAAGAACCCAGATACACCCGGAGACCTTGTTCATGCCCATGCGTGTCCCCACGGAACTCCTAACACTTGCGAGTTGGTGCAGCCCCAGCCAAGGTCCTGGACACAGTACCCGCATCCCTGGCTTCCTCTGATGTGTCACAGAGTTCAATTTGCTTTCTGAGGCTTCTTTGTTAACCTCTTCTTCCTAGTCCTGGTTTCACCACTGCTCGAGTTTTCCTCCTACTAGGAAAGTAGAAATCACTCCTTCATGGACAACATCAACCTGATGGGGTCACTGCTGGGCTGCCATTAACCTTATCACCCGCAACCTGCTATGCACATGAATCCCCTCTTTCTCACTGGGGACACACAGCCCTTCATGGATGCATGTTAAGCTTATTTCCGAGTCAGTCTTGTGTAAGAAATGAGTATTCTGAGCCCCTGTCCTAATGGACCCCCTCAACATAACAAGCTATAATTTCTTTCTTTCTTTCTTTTTTTTTTTTTTTTTGTCTTTTTTGTTTTTTTATCGGTACCAGGGATCGAACTCACGACCACCTGCTTGCAAGGCAGGTGCTTATGCTGCTGAGCTAAATTCCCAGCCCAACAAGCTATAATTTCAACAGCAGTGACAAATTGCAGTTGATGTCCTAGGCTGGGAAATATCATATAGGAGTGTATATAATTCAACCTTCATAGCATATAGGATCATATGTACAAGGACATTTACACGCACAATTAGTCTTCATAACCTCCCCGTAAGAAAGGCGTTTTAGTATCAATACCTTCTTTTTATAGATCTAAGCTCAGGTCTGGGTGTTCATAATTCTGTTTGTGCCCTTTGGCCAAACTCAGAGACAGACCTGCAACTGAACATGACAGGGTTTAGGGACTGAAGATAGAGGGCAGAGCCACATACAGTGTCCCGGGACATCTCAGAGGCAGGGCACTTGTCAGGAGCTTTGCTGGGGGATGGCAGGGGGTGGGGCTTTGCTCTGGACACAGTGCTGCTGGGAGGTGGGGTTGCTTTACAGCCCAGTGTCTTAAAAATTCTTACCTCTGAAGTGCTAGGTGTGGAGCAAGCCTGGTGTTGTCACTCCTTGGCCAGGATAGGGACCTTGGGCCACCCTCTTAATTTCTGCTGTGTTCAGGCATAGTTTGAAGTGAGTGTGGTTGCTGACATGGGTGTCTAATACTCTGGTGCTGAGGATGAGGAACAGGAGGCTCCCGTGTCCTCTGGTGATCACTGCTCTGCTCCTGGATCCAGATACTGTTTTTAACCACTGTACTGTGTTGGTTTTTCCTATTTTGAAAGAAGTCAGTGTAAGAATAATACAGAAAAATGCATAGGAACTTGTTTGTGTGGTTTTGGGGGATAGTGCTGTTGGCAGGGCTCTCACAAGCGTGTATTTGTGCAGGAATCTGAGTCATCAGCTGAAGTTAGGCTGAAAGGTATGTGAGGTGCTAACCCGTGGACCAAGTCCCCAAAGGAGGAGAGAGAGGGAGTTTGAGGGTGGGGCACTCAGCGCTGGATGAGATGGCTTGGGATCTGCAGCGCTGTGCTCTTCTCTTGAGCCTGATGTTCTCTGGGTTCTTATTCTGTGCTCCACTGGAAATGGGAGGTCATTTTAAAGACAGCATGAGTAGAAGTTATACTTAGTCCAGGCAGTGAGACGCGAAGGTAGTCCAGAGCCAAGGACTGGGACTGCACTGCTCACGAAGGACCGGCCTCACTGGCACTGGATGGCTTCAGTGGTCAGGCCACTTTGTACTCTCTGTGACTGCCGCCTGTTTTGATGACCTAAGCTGAGACCCTTCCATTCTTACTCATCTAATTTGGATGTCCTCACTGAGGAAAAGCACCAGACCCTAACGAGTGGCATTATTAACTAGATCAGAAATGGGAGCCTTGGCAGAATGGAGGTAGAGAGAACAAGGCCACACCAGCAAGCAAGCCCAGTCTAGGAACCAGCGCCATGCACTGGCTGCCACTGGACTGGACCAGCTGAACTCCAGCCCCTTCTGGTGCTCGGGCTAGCAAACAAGAAGTACTAAGTCCCAGCCCCTGCCAAAAGTGACTGGCTTATTCAAGAAACACAGGCTGTGTTGATAGCTTGGAGGTAAAATGCAGTTGGATGCCTGTGGTGCTTTGGTGTTACACTAACATTGCAGGTCTAGGGTCAGTGGTCTGATCATAGGTTCAGAGGATGCAGTGTGACATCTAGAATGGGATCTCCTGAGGGTTGCAGCCATTGTTGATTCCCTATGGTCTTGTTTTGAGGTCCTATATCATTTCCACTGTTTTGTTGGGTTGAATTTTATTCTCTTTTGTTTTGTTTGATTATGTCAAATCCAATGGCAGGAACACCTGTTTCAAAGATAGCAAGACACATTATGGTAGCCATTTTGGATTTACTACTGGCTTGTTTTGAAGTCCTTTATTGCATTCATTGTCTTGTTTTTATTGTTTCTATTCTGTTCTGTTTGATCTTTACTGTGCCCGAAGTTATCTGCTGCTATTTTGAAGATATCAAAAGGCATTACAGTAACTCTTGTTGATTTTATAATACTTTGAAGTCCCGTATCTCTTATACTGGTTGTTTTAATTGGTTTTATTCTGTTTTATCCTCCTTAAATAAAAAAAGAAAGAAATGGAAACTTCTGTTAAAGTACGAACATGGCAGACAATTGAGAGGCTGCTAGAGCTTTCAGACAGGTTTTGGAGAATGGGTAGGCAGGAAGTGGGGGAATCCCAGAACAGCTTGCAGACAGGAGAGGAACTGACTGTGCCTCTTGGGGAAGGGCAGAAGACAGTGGTCCTGATGGGCATGGGGGTCTAAATGCTAAAACTGCAGGAAAGGGAGATAAGGCCAGATCTCTGGGCTGCTTGGGACTAGGAGCTAGGATTGGAGGCAGGGACAGGATACACCCAGGCACCAGAGCATAACCTAGCACCAGTGCAATGCCATGTAAGTAGTGTAGTGATGACATTGTGGGTTTGGCAGAAGCAGTTTAACAGTTTCTTCCAGAAGGAGGAGCATGGCTGGGTGCTCCGCCCTCTTTGCTTTGAGGTTGCTTTGAGGTAACCTGGCAAGGTGTTCACAAAAGAAAGCCCCTCCCAGGAGGACCAGAGCCTCCTGGGGGATGCACATGGCAGGACCTCTGTGCTTCTGTAAATTTCTCCTACAGGGAAGCTTATTGTCTTTCTCCATCATCAGCACTGCACAAAACAGTTATGGTTATTTTTATCAGAACCACCAAGTACCCTTAACTCATCAGCGAAAGACACATCTCCATATGATTTTGTGAGTGTGTGTGTGTGTGTTTAGGGAATGAGCCCAGCACCTCCACGCTGAGCTCTAGCCTTGAATTAGTTTTTGAGATAGCTTCTAAATTGTCAAATTGTCTAGGCCTGAGATTGAACCTGGATCCTCTTCCCTCAGGCTCTCAGAGAGCTGGGATTACTGGCATACAGCATCATACCTGGCTTCAATGTGATTTTATTGAGTAATGAATTTTAGCATGATCCAAACACTAGACTTGCTGATCCATTGATGGTACATACAGTTACTGTTTCATGAAAACCCTGTTCTGAAGAATAGCTTTGCAATTACCTGGGAGAGGCTGGAGTTAGCCATAACTGCAGAAGCAGAAGACAGAAATGAGATGTGTAGACTAGAGTGGGGGCATGGGTAAGACCATGCTTTCACAGGGACTCAGAGGAAGTCCATAGGGTATGGAGCAGATTCAGGGATGAAAACCAAGCTGTGTTCATAGATTAGCACTGGACAGCGGCTGCAGTCTGAATCCTCCTGCTGAGTCCAGACTTCGTGAGCTGGAACAAATCAGCCCCCGGGGTGTGGATAGACTGGCCAGGAGAGCAGGAACCTGCTAGGCTGTCTTGAGCACCTTCTCTGCACAATGGTGTCATGCTGTCCTAGGAATGACTTAGAAAGATGAGTTCTACACCAGTCTACGGTCACAAATCATTCTCAATTTCTCTTGCACAGAAACCCTGAGCATTATCTTAGTGGGAAGGAGTGGGACTGGGAAGAGTGCGACCGGGAACACGATCTTGGGGAGGCAGGTCTTCCTCTCCCGGCTCCGACCCCAGCCAGTCACCCAGACATGCCAGAGTGGCAGGAGGACCTTGGACGGGCAAGATATTGTGGTGGTGGACACCCCGCCCTTCTTGGATGATGTTGAGAGAGACCTACCCTGGTTAGAGGATGAAATCAAACGCTGTTTGTCTTTATGTGAGGGAGGAACCAAGATCTTTGTCCTGGTCCTCCAGCTTGGATGGTTCATTCAAAAGGATGAAATAGCGCTGTCAAACCTGGAGAGCATCTTCGGGGAGGAAGCTATGAAACATGTGATGGTGGTGTTCACGCGGGAGGAAGACCTCAAGGGCGAGAAGATTGAAGATTACATTGAGAACACAGATCACAAAGCCCTTAAGAGTCTGTTTAAAAAGTACAAGTGGCCAGTTTGTGCGTTCAATAACAGAGGGACTGACCAAGCCCGGGAGGCCCAGGCGAAAGATCTTTTGAAGAAAGCCAATGACCTGAGAAAGAGTCATGAGGGCTCAGGGTATTCCTTGACATGGGAAACTATCAGCTATCCAATTAGAAATGCCCAGAAAAAATACAGTTACAAAGCATTCATAAAGACTTTCAGAAATAAGGTTAAGGAAGTAGCAGAAAGGCCTGGGATTTCTTCATATTAGGAACACACCCAGGCTGAAAGAGGGGTGGGTACGGTCGGACTAGTGGGATGGCAGGAAAATCCGTGGCTAGCAAGGCTCAAGAGACAAATGTATCCTACACTGGGGTCCTGTGGCTATTTGTGGGCAAAAATATAGTCAGACTGGGGCAGGAACGAGTGGATTGTAAAGAATAAAGAGAGAACAAGGCAGAGCAATCTCAGAGAGAGTTTGAATTTGATGCAGCCAAGAGAGATGCCGCAGCCAAGGCCGAGGCCAGCTGTGGTGGCGGATGATAGACAGCTGCAGATCCATCATGGGATCCAGCATAGAGCAGCGTGATGCCCAGCACATGCCGGGCACGGCTGGTTTGGAAGAGGACTCCAGTGGGCCTCTCTGCGCTCCATCTGTCCTCCAGTCCACTGGCTCCCTGATCTCCCTGCTTTTCTTCAGGTTCCCCAGGGTCCTCTCCTCACGTGGAAACTCCTTCCATCCTTCTCCTTCATGCCAGATGGAACGCAGCACACAGCCTCTCCTCTCCTGTCCTCAAGAAAATGAATACATCCTTGAAGTTTCAAGAGATTTTCCTGCCACCCAGCACAGTGAAGTAGGCCGGAACAAACTTTAGAAGCGCACCAGAATTCCAAGTTACAGAATCTTGCAGAATTTTGACTTTCATTCTAGATTTTCTGTTACTGGAAACTCCTTTGCACACTCCTCTGTCTTTTTAAAATTTTATAAATATTAATAAATAAGTTAAAAGTCAAACAAACAAATAATAATGGTTTAAACACACTCAGAGCTTAGTGTGTCTCATATCAAAAAGCCCCAGAGCACCCAGTGTTGGGCTGGTGGGCATCAGAGTTCCAGCTCCCTCCTGTCTTTCTGACTCCTGCGGGCAAGCTTGCCTCCCGGTGCCTACAGGGATGCTCTGCCAACGCTGAGTGGATTCTTTTGGAAGCTGCCTGAGGTATGCAGTGTGTGAAATCAGAACTATGGAGTTTCATCCTGGGTAGATAGGGAATTGGATGTTTTTAATAATAACCACTGTATTCATGCTTGAAGGGTAGAATCTATGCTATGATTCTGTGTTATCCATTGTCTTTTCCCCTGACATTTGGTTACCTTTAAGATTAATTTGCTCATAAGAGCATGGATTGTTGATAATACCTGTAGATGCCACATCCCTTTTAACCTGAGAACTTCCTGAAAATGTGTGTATCAATGTATTGAGCTCTATCAAATAATGATGAATAAAATTATAAATTTGCATTCTCTTTCTTATTCCTATGTTTCTGACCATGGGGAGGCAACTGAGATCTCTTTTTTTTTTTATTTTATTTTATTTTATTTTTATTTTTTTTAAATTTTATTTAAGGAGAAAAGAAAAAAAGCAGAGAAAGGGTACAAGTTATACAGATTTGCAGAAAAAAAATGAACAGTAGGAAATTACTAGTTAATGGATTACATATTGTCATCTTAGAAATAATTGTTCAAGTCACAAAATTAAAGCTTGTAAAGTGGACATTCCATCAATGATACTGCAAACAGTTCTGTTCAATGATCCAATAAAACTCTGTGATATCATTTTCTATCTTATACACTTAAATATACATGCAGTTATATAGTACAGAGCACTTTCTTTTCCTCTCTTTTGTACAATGACTATTACACATTTTGGGTTTCATTGCTCCCATGGTTCTTATTACTTTTTTGGAAGAGAGTAAAACCAAATGTGACATAACAGAACAGAATCGGTCAAGTCAAAAGGGTGGACATAATAGATAATGTGAAAACATAATACAAGGTGATCAACAATGGTTACCATAATGCCTCCCGCTATCTCTAATAGAATTGCCTATATTGTTAGTTACAATGCAATTGAACAAAACTGTAAAGAATAAAACCGACAAAACCAAAACATTGGAGACATTGTAGGTCTTCAAAAATAGATAAAAGTCAATGAGAATGGGCGTCATAATGAATCTCATTATCTTCACAGCTGATGCCTAAATTTTCGAACCTGATACTATCCAGCAAAACAGAATGGGGGAACATCAGTTAAAAACCAGATGGTGAGAGTAATACAGGGCTTTAAATCGAGGTAATGGAAAGTCAAAGTGGGTTACTATAATATATCCTGCTATTTTTTTCCTTTAATTAAAAGGATAAAAATAAAAAAGTAAATAATGGAGTGGAGATTGAGATAAAAGAGGGCATAACAACGAAACAGCACAGATCAAAACATAACCATTTAAGCAGAATAGTGTTTCACCACCAGATAATCCTGACCTAAAAGTAGCAACTGAGATCTCTTGACACAGGCAAGGTCTTTATCTTTAGAATGAGCTACAGCTACATGTGTGCAGGCCTCTGTGGCTTAAAGATCTCCTGCACCAGGATTTCATTAGAGTTAGGACAAGTAAACACAGCCTATGTTAGAATCAGGAATATGGGGAGAATAAGTCTGGAAGGCATTCTGTGCCTCTTCCCCTTCTGGTCCAAGGTAGGAACAAATGCTAGTGTGGCTGAGCAGGTAGGTATCCCTGGGACCTGTACCGGGTGGAGGAGGCACAGGCTAAGCAATGTGGCCTCGGTTCACAGGTGGGCTCTAGTGTGCATACTGTTGTCGGTTCACCCCTCAGAGGGTGACAATGCTGCCACATCAGCTGCTCTGAGAAGCACATGCTGAGAAAGAGAGGAGGAAGAGGCTTGAGGGCGGGTAACGCATTTGAAGGACAAAAGAGAGAAGCAGCAGAATTGGGGAAGGAGAGCTGGGCTGTGATGCTGACCTGCAGAAGGGTAGCAGGCAGCTCAGGAAGCCCACGCCAGCTCAGCAAGGAGCACTGGGCAAAGACTGGCAGCCTAGGTTGCACCAGGAAATGATGGGAAGAGCCTGGCCTTGGGTCCAAACTTGAGGTGAGAAGCTCATAGCCTTCCAGTGGGGAACCGGAAATGATGGTGCGTATGGCCTCGCTTGCTTCTGCCTATTGGTTCTCAAAGTGTTCTTCTGAGGGCATAGTAGCATACAGAGGTCAGGTATGCAGTGCTTCGTGCACCTTAGGAAGGACACCGACCCTCACTAAGGACACCTCTCTGAGCCTGCAGACCAGACTTGCTCTTCCACTCTCTCTAGCGTATGTATCTCAGCTAGGCCACCAGTATGCTGACCACCCAGATATTTGGCACTTCCTGGAGAGTGCTCTGGTTGTCCCTGCGGGAAGTCAAGGCTGTTGGTGTGTAGTCAGCAAACTCAAGGGATGTTGGTGGACAATGTGAAGCTGCTGGACAGCCCTTTATCCCTGAATGACCTGGCCTCAAATGTCAGTGGTACTGACGACACTGAGACAATGCATGCGATTGAAGAGATCCTCCACGTGGCAGAATGTCCAGTAGTGTGGCTCTCTCTGGGTCAGGCAGTGGGAGAGAGAACTCCTAAGGAAGTAGTTTCCACTTTCCACAGCGTCCCTTTTCTGCTGGGTGCACCAAGAATGTGCTTGGTTCCACGTTAGGCTGTCTTTCTCCTTCCTCCAAGCAGCCCTCCCATGCATGGAGAAAGATGTGTCAAAGAATCTAATTTTTATGGAGGGCTCATCTTAAAGAAAACAGAATAATTCCTGATTTCAAAAAGATAGAGCATGCTGTATAAATTCCTAAAAAGGAGCAGGCTGAGTGCTGGTGTGCTCTGAGGAGTCCATGAGCAAGCTGGATTCTTCAGTGAGTTCCACAGTCACTTGACTATCAACCTCTGTGCTCCTACCTCCAGTGGAACTGCCACCAACTTGGAAAAGACTCTCACCCTCCCACACCGTCATCACAGTTGTCTGTCCATGGAACTGTGGGCCCAGCCTCTCGCCCTGGCTCACTGTTCTCCTCACCAACCAATCAGGACACCAACGTGGCTGATCAAGCATCTCCCCGAGAAGCAGCATGGTCTTTACCTTGACAATTCTGTTTACTCTCACATTTCCGAGAACAGACACAGCATTGCAGGGATTGAACCCACAGTCTCATGCTTGCCAGGCAGGCGCTTAAGCCACTGAGCTAAATCCCCAGCCCAGTGTTGCAGAATTTAAGAGGTCAGTGAGACCAGCAGGAAACAGGAGGATTTCAATAGGTGGATAGCAGACTTCTGTCCAAGATGGCTTAGCATTGGACAGAGGCAGGCTCCAGTTTTATGGTTTTTGGCATGGAATTTGTGGGTGAGCAGCAGGAGAACAAAGGCTGTTTGTCAAGTTGTGACAGTTTTGTATCTTAGTGGCCCTGCTTGGGCATAATAAGATGTTATGGGAACAGGAATTTATAAAATTTTACTCACAAGGACAAGAGTTGCTGCTTTTACTGCATTAAAACAAGGAACAGCAGCAGTAGGGAGGGGGAAGTTTGGGAAACGACTTTTCCTTTTTAAATTCTGTGAAAATAGGACACACCCAAGAGACTGGTATAAAACCCAGCTGTAAGCTGGTCATGGTGTCCCACATGTGCAATCCCAGCACTTGGGAGGCTGAGGCAGGAGGATCAAGACCAGCCTGAGCTGCACAGTGAATTGAAGGACAGCTTGAATACATAATGAGACCTCGTCTCCAAAAAACCTCCCAAAAAACCCAAAACAAAAAGCAAAACAATGACAACAACAACAGCACCAAACCCCGGCTGGGAGCAGCATGGTACATGTCTCCCCTCAGCACCTACGTGTCTTGTTCTTTGCTTGTCACTTAACACTGTCTGCACATAAGTCAGTAGGTGATTGTGTGGAAAGAAACCCACACATTATAGGAGAGATTAAAGGAACTCAAAAACTGGCCATGAGGTTCAACCTAAAAGAGCCCCAGGAAGTACATTTATAATTGTTTTTCATAAGGGTACAGAAAGGTGAGGTTTAATAGGAAGTCACATTGACAATAATAATTATGAACATTTAGTTTAGCTTCCCTCTCATTGCTGCTGTGGCACTGCAGAAAGATCCTGTTTTCCCTAGACACGTCATTTCCCAGAGGAGAATTAAATGCATTCTTCGCAGTTTCCATCACCAGTCATGTGGCGCTCACGTGGTTTGACTGCTCCTGACCTGGGTCCTCTTCTGTTGCTATTGGTCGCTGAGACTACTGACTGGCCAGCAGGACTCTGAACCCAGTAGGCCCGTTGGCTTTGTCTTCAGGACGTCAACACCGCCAGGTTTACCAAGGATGTAGCATCTACCATACATGGCATTTCTTCTGCTGCTGTTCCAGCCGGCCCCGAGATGTTCATGGCACCGCTGTTGGCTGCATGAGCTCGCATTTCCTTCTTTGATGCAGTCTCATGCCTCCCAGAATGTCATCATGTGACCTGGCTTTTGCTCTGCGGGAGACCCTACGAGCAAAGTTTGTCTTCATTGGCCCTGACTTGGTGCTTCTCCAGCACCAACGCTGCTTTCTTCCCACGGATGCTTTTTGAAACCAATTTTTTTTTTTTGTCTTTTTCGTTTTTATCGATACCAGGGATCGAACTCATGACTGCCTGCTTGCAAGGCAGGTGCTTATGCCACTGAGCTAAATCCCCGGCCCCCTGAAACCAATTTTTAAAAGTATCATGGCTGCATGAGGCAGTGGACAGAACCGTGGGAAGCAATGGACTAAACAAAAAGCTTAAAAGGAAAAGTCACGGAATGAGACATTGCTGGGACATTGGGAACCTTGTACACATTCCCAGGAGTATAGGAGATGGCAAAAGTGCACAGAACACCTGTCCAGGGCTGGGCAAATGCTGAGTGTGGAGCAGAGAAGCTCAAGATGTCATTTCTGACAGTCCCAGAAGAGGAAATGAAAATAAGGCAGAGTTGGAAGTTCCCTGAGTGTTGATCGTGTGCTCCAGAAGCACATGGAGCTTCTTACCCAAGACTGGGAGACTCTAAGGCTTCAGGAACTCTTTGTTCAATCATTAGTTCATCACTGAACAGATCTATGCATCTGAGCAGAGATTACAATGAGCACACAGAATGGAGAGTACAGGAACGTCACCAAACAACAAAACAAAAACAATAGCAACAACAAACCTTGGTGTAGTGGGGGATAGGGATGCAGCGTAGCCAGGTCCATTATTTAAAATGTCATGAAGGGCTGAGGGTGTAGCTCAGTAGTAGAGCACTTGGCATGAAGCCCTGGGTTTGATCCCCTGTACCACAAAAATAAAGTAAAATGTCCAACAAATACCACTAAGCAGGCAAAGAAATAAGAAAATACCAAACACACACAGATACACACACATCCTATTAATAAAACTCTTCTTAGGAA